CGAGTCCAAGTTTTGGGGTCGGAAGTGTTTTTTATCTAGGACTGAGCCATTGTTTTTGGCGTTTAATATTCGCACAGAGAATCCATTTTTCATCACCGGTGACAATTCTGTCCAAACATGGTTTACGCGCCAGAAAAGACGAAGCAACGTTCACACGTTGGAAACGATGATCATCGGAGAGTTCGTGAGGCACCCAAACACCCTCTTGAAGGAGTTTTCCCATATTCCTTAGATGTTGACGTATTGTTTCATAAGAGACATGCAATTTCAGGGCCATTTTACGAGTGTGTTCCCTTGGGTTAGACTCAACAAGTGTCTTCAGAGCATCAATATTACAGAGCATCAATATGCCATCACAGTTTTTAAGGCTAAAGTCATCTGAACAAAATTTGCTGAACCATAGTTGACACTTACGAACGTTCAAAACAGTTCCATAAACTTCTTTGATATTCTTTGTGGCTACAGAGACGTTGTTTCCCTTCTTGTATTCAAACAGCATTGCATGCCGAATGACGTGATGTACGTTTTTTGTTGTTGTTGTTGCTTGGGATGTAATAAAAGTGTTCCAAAACGCGTTAATTTCTTGACGACCTAATACTATTTACTTATTCAATTACTGTTGGTGATATCTGAAATAGTTCAACTCGCAATATTATAACATTATTTATTTTTGAAAACTGTAAATCTTTAAGATATTTCACTAGAGTAACATCATAACACTTGCGGGAGACAAACATTTATTTAATCACACGCCTTTCTTAACACCAGTCAAGTGCTGCAGCAATATATAAAAGTTACTAGCCCTAAAAATATTTTTTTCAATATATTCATATACATGCATACGGAAAGTAACAACAAAAAACAGCATTAACGTTAGTGTACGACGGGAAAAAATTAAGTACGAACTATTCGACCTACCTTCATCCTTCACGATGGTGGCAATATGTAGAATAACCATGAAAACCATAAGAACTGCCAATATCCTGTTCAGAATTAGGAATATATTACATGTACTACATAAATATTTGCTTATTTCTTTAAGTATAATCATTCACACGGAAATAAACAGTATGGATAAATAATGGATGTAAAGGTTACTAAAGTTATTCTTCACATAATGTACTCTAGTGCTAATAAAACCACTTCCTTATGAAAACCGTTATACATATATAAAAAAAACACGGAAATAAACAGTATGGATAAATAATGGACGTAAAGGTTACAGAAGTTATTCTTCACACAATGTGCTCTAGTGCTAATAAAATCACTTCCTTATGGAAACCGTTATATATATAAAAAAACACGGAAATAAACAGTATGGATAAATAATGGACGTAAAGGTTACTGAAGTTATTCTTCACATAATGTGCTCTAGTGCTAATAAAACCACTTCCTTATGGAAACCGTTATATATATAAAAAAAAATTGAATGAGGTCATACCAATATAAAGCCGTCGATTCTGACGACAGTAACTGGAAAATAACACTGCTACTGAAAATGTAAGCTACACCTGCTGCAGTCAACACAAGGGTCTGTAAAATAACATAATCACAACGATTTTGTTACACACACACATATGTTCACAATAACTTCTAATTTAAACAAGCTAACTATATAGATCAAATCTATGCAATGTCATAAAACAAGACTTACAATATCGTTACCGTTGTTATAGATATTTTCGGCCGTAATCCAATAATACCTCACGAGGTTCGGCCAGCTTAGATTTTGGTTAGTCCTAAATCCATATACTAAGTTGACAAAGCAAAATCATCTTCATAAGTGTAAAAAGTAATAAATAATAATAATGTGCACACTTACACACAAAGGTATACATACATATATTAAAACAATACTGTTAATGAAACTTTAATGAAAAAATGAAATTTAACTTTACTAAGAGCGATCATCAGCTTGATCCACGACGTTTTTTTTATGTAATTTTTTGTAAAGCATGATCACCTGACAACTAATAGTTAAAGACTGGTATTCACACGAGCAAACTGCGTGACGAACAGGTGGTTAAAACAACAAATCGATCTACTTCTGTGTATTTTAATCAAGTTTGAAACACCTGATCGTTTACTCATCAGTTCACTAAACAGGTTATCGATTTCAACAATAAACTTTCAATACTTATCCGGAAACAAAAATAATGTAAAGAATAAAACATTAAACCAGAATAATATATATATTTTGATTTTAAATATATTGTTAAAAAATAAATATACATTCCGAATCATAGATATTTGACCCCACAAGTGTAGGTTGCAATTAATAATGGAAATATTTAAAACTGTGGATGAAAACCATACCACTAAGAACAGAAAAGAAATATTTTAAGATACTTTTAATTTAAGCATGTGACTAGTGAACAAAAAAGGAAAAAAAATATACTGTATATATTATTCAAGACATACTCTGATAATCAACATTATATACATCTGTCCTCCATTACAGGTTATATTTAGTACACTAATAAACTTTTAAAAGTGTTTACTCTTACAGGTTACTAATCACGTGTATCTATTGCCACAGGTTCTAACCTAATAGACTGTTACTCTTAGGAAACGGATTTGGAGAAATCAGATTGGGAGGCAGACCCTGTTACTTACTGTATTAACTGCTTCAGATTGCCACAACAGTGTATGGGTACACATTTTACTCACTTTAATTTCAGCAACTCTTTATGCTAATGTGCTGGTACAAGTTTTACTTCTATCTACTTTTATTTTAGCAACTAATTATTGTGTGAATACACATTTTACTTCTACCTCGTTTTACTCTAGTACCTCTTTACTCCAATCTGTGGGTAGATGTTTTACTTCTACTCGACTTTACTCTAGTACCTCACCTCTTTACTCCAATCTGTGGGTACACATTTTACTTCTACTTGGTTTTACTCTAGTACCTCTTTACTCCAATCTGTGGGTAGATGTTTTACTTCTACTCGACTTTACTCTAGTACCTCACCTCTTTACTCCAATCTGTGGGTACACGTTTTACTTCTACTTGGTTTTTACTCCATCATGTAGGTGCATGATTTATTTATACCTGGGTTTACTCCACTCTTTCCTGAAGTGCGTGTATGTGTGTGTCCCTCAAGTTAATATTTCTGTAGTCTCTACTCCTATGTATGTTTAAGTTTCCTTTTTGAATATAACGTATCACATCAAGTGTTTCAATTGCACAGATAATTTGATCTACAGCACGGAAAGTATGAGTATTTACATACTATAAGATGAGAATGAGTCATTCACACACACCATGCAAAGTATCTAGCTTAGTATGGCTTGACTACATGAGGTTCCAGCTATATAATAGGTTTAAAAGATTTGAAAGGAAAAAAAATTATTAAACAATTTATAGGGAAATGAATAGCTAGAAAGTCTCTTGAGATCCCTGAGAAATAACTCATTGAATATTGTGTTTTTATGACATATTGTGCTAAGAAAATAAATAAATACAAGATAAGTAATGCTGCTGACAATTGCATGGCCTGTCTTTACTGAAACACTCCACAGGAAAAAACAACTAGTGGTTTTATGTATATGTATGTATAATGGGTTAACGTATAGTTAACATAATAGCTAAAAGAAAGTCTGCATTCAAATTAAACATGCATACCGGCTTGCTATAATGAATAGCTTTACTTTAATCTCACATACTGCTTTAAAATATTATGAAAAATTACCATTGTAGAACAAAACTATTAAAACTTATAAAAACAACCATCATTAGAATGACTGATTCTCCCTAATAGTAGTTGTTGATAAATAAGGTGTATTTTATGGTTATGTTTTCTTTTGTCACAGAAATCAATTTTTCTCTCTCTCTCTCTCTCTCTATATATATATATATATATGCATGTGTGTGTGCGTGCATGCGCATATGTACATATATATATATATATATATATATTGTTTGTAACCATGATCTTTTAACCTCAACACCAATAGGGTTCTTTCCACTACCCAACTAAATTGACCTGTGGTGTTTGATTAAAATCTGTTGTTCAGAAATATTGTTATCATGCAGACGGTAGATGTCTACAGATGGATTTATGGACAAACAGACAAGAGGGGAACAGCATTGCTATAATATATTACCCAGAACCTTTTCATTCAAAAGGAACAATCTGTGTAACTGATACATAGAATATTGGCTAACAGAGCCAGTTAAGTTTAGTTATTCTATCTAGAACTAATCTCTTAAAGAAAATCACTTGTTTATTTATGCAGTAGTATTCTCTCCATTTTTTATAGAATAAAAGTGGAAAAAAACTGATAAGGTTAATGTCTGGGTTCCTAAGGGACTTTCTTATATAAACATGGTATACCTTATTTTTCTTTAAACTTTGAAATCTACTTATTTCAAATTCAGTAATTGTCTCTTTTCCCAACTGTTTCACATAGAAAAACAGTAAATACAAAATAAACAATTAACAAGCTTCCAGAATCGTCATATAGCATTAAACAAAAACAACAGTAATCAATTTGTTGTTATTCAGGAAAACACTTATGTTAACCTGAACATAGAGCAATTGTGGCTCTCAATGTCAAAGAAACTTGAAAAAAAAACTATGGAAAGAAAATTATTTAGCTCCTTTTTCTGTTAAGGAATTACAAAAAATAGACAATTTTATCCACAATTTCTTTAGTCAATACCAGTAGTAATTACTGTAGCTATTTTAGTATAATGAACATGCATGGGAGAGCTTCCACAATGTTATTGTCAGATACATTTGTTTTATGGGCCTAACTTAAGTAAAAGGTGTTGTAGATGTTATACCAATGTTTAGAATATGAAAACTGAGATACGTCTGCAATTCAAACCAAAATTTTAAATTAACTTACAATAATATGGAATAGCATGTCTAATTATATTTCACATCTTTTAATACTACTAAATCAGTTGCAGAGTTCTAGATAAGGACGCGTACTGCGTATTCACGCATATTTTTCCACACAAAAAAAAACGTATTAAATCAGATCTAGGCGTACAAAAATGCTTTGAAAATCGGCCGGTACGGATTCACTGTCTTTATCTGGCATAAATTTATGTAAACTAATCGAGCACGCGCTACTGGTTTCCCGCTATCCAGGTAAATGTGACACGCCACTTCAATTTTAACTGAACTAGTCAGTCTGATGCAACCGAGTCGTCAAAAGTTTATTGATTCTTATCGACTTTATAATTGAATCACAATACATGGATGACAAAAATGTCGTCTCATCGACAGTTTAGTGTGCAACCAGGACGGCTGAAGTAGAATTACGCGACAAATACGAGCTCGCTGTACAAATATTTCAGTCGAGATGATAAAACTGAAGACTGTGCAAAGATCGTCCACAAAATCGTAAATGATCTCATCTTTTCTTGCACTGAACTTGGCAATCAAACAGCAAAGAAACACTCTGGAACAACCGTTTATGGAAATAAAAATAAAAATGTTCATGGTTAGTGGTGGTTGATGAAGGGGTTGATAAGAGACTGAAGTGCAGCATTTATTTGCATAGAGAGAAAAGTTAGAAGCATATGGGCAATTGATGGATCACCTAATGTTCAGAAGAACAGTATTAAGAGGCATGGGCTGTCTTCAGAACATCAGCAGGCCAAGAAAGGTTCACTGAAGGACTCTCCGGACAAGAGTAAAATGTATGACAGTGATGTTGACAAGGAAGATAATTCAATCTCTGTATCATATGATGACAGTAAATTGTTTCGTACAATCTTTTAAGTAGCAAAGGAGGAGTTGCCATCTGATAAGGTCATTTTACTTGAGATACAGAATATGAATTGAGCAAATGTCAAGTACAAGAATTTCAACTATTTAACAATGTATGATATACAGTCATGTATAAGTAGAGTTATTCAGAGGTCACTTATAGAAGAAATCCTTCAGTCCGTGACATATGCAATAATGATAGATGAAAGCACACGTTTATCAATACAGAAACATTTACCAGTATGTATAAGCTATGTGAAGAATGGTGAAACAGTAAAAAAGTTCTTAACAAATGAGGTCAATGAAGATGGAAAAGTTCACATCATTGTCAGTATCTGATAAAGTGCCTCACTAACCTTGGGCTTGACTCAGCTAAGATTGTTCCTCTAGCAACAGATGATGAATCAACAATAACATGTAAAAAGACAGTTGCTGGTTTGCAGTACAAACCCACTGTATTGACCATCACCTAAAATTAGCTGTGACAAATTCAATTAAAAAGTTGGACACTCTCAATACATTTAGAAATAATATTAATTCGTTGTATTATTTCATGAGTGGGTCAAGTAACCATACTTCAAAACTGAACAGTATTCAAAAACTGTTAGGTAAGCCTGATCTTACAAGAGTCCCATAACATAAGATGGCTTGGACTTAAAAATGCTGTTGAAGCTGTGTATGAGAGTTATAACTCAATCCTGGTTATCCTTTCAAACTTTGCTACTGCTCATGGTTTGTACAAATACTTTTCAGAATATAAGACAGTGATGATAGTGTCATTTATGCTAGGTATTTATGATGTTC